TACAGCAGGGTGGCATGAGCGGCGTCGGGGGCAGCCCCGCGGGGAAGGGGGCGAATGTGTGTTGGTGCTGGTGTGTGTGCTGGTGTGTGTGTTGGTGTGTGTGCTGGTGCTGGTGGAACTCCGCCCGCAGCAGAGCCCCCGGGCCCAGGGAGGCGCCAGGCCGCTCGGCGCTCTGCACCAGAAACCGCGTGTTCAGCTCTTGCCTGAGCAGCTCGTGATCTACAAGAGAAAAAGAGAGAGAGACAGAGAGGCACGTCGGCCGCGGGCTCCCAGCGGGGCGAGGCGGATAGTCACCTGGCACTCCCGGTTTCGGCAGGCCAAGCCGTGGTGGCCGCTCACTACGTGCGGGCCCAAGGGTGGAGGTAAGAGAGGAGCCTGTGACCAAGTACCAATCAGAATCCCCGAATGAGGCTGGCAATACATGATTGGCTGGTTGAATGAGATCAACAGGCTGGCATCTAGAGGCAAGAGAGAACACGGTGAGCCTGGTAGGCGCTGCCGTCAGCCCCAGTCCCTCTGCCCCGCCAGAGACAAGGGGCCCTCCATGGCACAGCTCTTGGGGGAGGGGCTCCCGGAGATGACGCCCTGGGGAGCCTGTGTTCAGCCACCCCAGACCAGTGTCCTGGTCCTATCCCCGGACACTGGGCTGCCCCAACATGGCCTGAGCAAACTCAGAATTTTAGAAAGAATTTGGAAGCCAAGGAAGAAATCCTTCCTGACCTGAGAGGGCACCAGCCAGAAGCAAGGAGGAGGAGTAGAGGCCAGGCAGGGGTGGACGGGGCCCTGTTCACTTTGGACCCCCCTACTCCCCAACCAGGTGGTGTCTGATCATCACAATTCGGCCCTTCCCCCACCCCCAGAGGGTGGCAGCCCTGACACAGCAGGGATGAGAAGGAAGAGAAACCCCATGCAGGCTGCCTGACCAGATGTGGCAAGTGCTCAAGATGGGGCAGGTGAAGGTGGGAGGCCCCAGCCACAGGGTGAGGGGCTGCCTGTGTACGACTGAATGCATGTGTATGCCTGTGTGTGCATGTGTGGCTGTGTGTGTGCCTGCATGCACACAACCCATGGCTGGGCTCAGACTCCTGGGGAAAGACCCTCCTGTTGGAACCACGGAAGCCACTCGGGGACACTGAGGATGGGCCAAGCCCTGGAGCAGGCTGTGCACCCTTCCTGGGAGGCTAGGTTCCCCCCACCCAGACCCGGGGGTAAGATCACGGGTCTGACACCTACCTGCGGGGTGTCCTGGGATGACCAGGCTGCTGGCGGGCAGCGCTGGAGGCGGGGGCAGTGTCGGGGGGGCAGCGAACATGGCCGCCGTGTGGTGCTGGTGCTGCGCCTGGGACCGGAGCGCCAGGTGTGAGGTAGACAGGTGGGGGCCCGGCCCAAGCGGGGACAGCGATACGTGCTTCGCCAGGCCGAGGGGGGCGCCGCTGCCCGCGCTACTGCTCCTGCTGCAGGACAGGGGGCTCAGTGCCCGCAGCCGGACCCCACGGCCCTGCCCCTGAGGCCTCCTGGGCCATCTCTTGACCCCCATCTGAGGCCATGCAGGCTCCTCCCCCCACACCCACCTGAGAACGTGCAGGTCCCGCCCCCTCCCTCGCCCCCACCTGAAAACGTGCAGGCCGTTGGGTGCCGCCTGGCCGGGACCCGGGCCCGCGAAGGCGCCCAGGGACGGAGGCACGTGTGTCGGGAGCGGGCCGTGGGACTGCAGGGGCGCGGGCGGCTGCGGGGCGTGGCGGGGCGCAGTGGGGGCTTCCTTCTTCACCAGGGGGCTGGCGCGGGTGCCGGGCTGGGGGCCCGGAGAGGGC